CAACAAAATCATTAGCTTTATGAAAAACTCCAATTTTTCTGATTGCATAGACTAAACTGTGATCACTTATTCCAGTGTGTACAACACCAGAGTGTGAAATTTTCTCAGGTGTATTCGTCACTACATGGTCAATAAGGCTAGATGACCTCATAGTAACTCGAGTTGGTTCATTTATCAACTGGGATAGTTGGTATAATTCGTATATTGAATATAGTTTATTTGTTGGCATACTGAAAAGATTTTTTTCCTCTAACAAATTGCAATTTAGGTCACCTAAAATGTACATTTCTTTATTCTCATCATCAATTTGTTTAATAAGTTTTTCCAAATGGTCAAAAAATTCAGCAGTTGCATTTGGCGGTCTGTAAATTGTAGTGACAATAAATGGTTTACTTTGTGGTTTAGTAATTTCTAAACAAACGGCCTCCAATTCAGGGGTAACGAGATCTGACCTTATTTTATAGTTGATGGAGCTACGAAGGTATATACAAACTCCGCCTCCATTGCGGGAACGATCTTTTCTAACAACCTCATAACCATCTAAATGAATGAGGCCATCAGAAATACTCAGGTCTAGTTGTGTCTCGTTGAATGCAATTAAATCAATGTTTTTGCTACACATTGAATGACGAATTTCATCTATTTTACCGGGTAAACTAACAATATTTAAAAAGGCCATCTTAAAACCTCTTTCATTGGGAATGGAATTAAGAGTCGCTGAAAAATTGCTACTCACATTTTTGTTTGAGAAATTATTAGTATCTAATTTCTTAGTATTCGGTTTGCATGCTTGTGGTGCATTGACCCGTCTTTTCTCAGATGTCCATAACCCTTCCATAAAAAATGTTCATTGTTAATTCTACTAGGTGAATTCAGACTCTGTTTCGGTTTAAGAAAAGTGCAGAAAGCACTTCCCAAAGCTCTGTTGCCATTCTTATTTAAATGTAGGTTAGATCTGTTTAGCATAGATTTGACAATGCATTCATTATCTATGTATGCAATTTTATGCTTGATGCATAATTTGTGCAATAAATTGTTGTATGAATTGATATTATTAGGTTTAACTTTGTTGTCATACCTTTTTATAATGCCTGATACAGCAACTTCTTTGGCTTTGGTTTTCACCTTCGTTATCAAGGCTTCCATATTTTTGATAACTCTGTCAGGTTGGGTACGTGCGAGATCATTGGTTCCGACATGGATGATGACTCTTCCATAACTGCTCTCCTCTTTCACACGTTCATCAAACTTCGCAGCAATCTGCTCGACAGTTGCCCCACTGTATGAATGGCACACGGTTCTTTTCTTTGCTGCTCTTGTCAGCTTCATATTGTCAATGTTCTTGACCATGGAGTCACCAATGACCAAGTCAATGCTCTCCTTGGATGACTCGTGTGTTGGCGTCCTTTCCTCTTCTTTTGCAGGTGAATCCATCTTTGGCTTTTCCTTGGCCACTTTCGGTTTTTTGGCATCTCTAGATTTCACGAACTTCTCCTGTTGTTTAGCACGGTAGTTAGATATTTGTGCGTTAACATCACTGTTTATCTGATTCCCATCACTTGCTTCCTCTTTATTCTCGTCATCGAGTGCTTCAAATCTGTTCTGACTTTGAGTTATGTTGTTATTAGCAGACTCGGTTACTTTTTTATCTGTAGATTTACTATGTTCGATCTTTGTCCATTCGCCTTGTTTAATGTCGAGAACACTTCTTATCACAGCATTGTCATTTGATGTTTCTTCAACATTGATTTTTAACGCCTGTATTTCCGCCACCATTTTATTATTGTCCTCGATAAGGGATTTCGCTATTTCCCCTGTCCTCGTCTTGTTTCTTTTTCATTTCGTTTACTATAATTAGTAGATTGTTTAGTTCTTCCCTATAGTGTTCGCAATTACTGCAATTCTCATCTACAATTATGGTGCTTTGATTGCTTTCCGCGCCTTCGTCTTCAACAACAACAACATGCGGCGCCACGTGTTCGACTTCATTATTTTGGTAATCGTCGTTTTCTGGCATCGGTAGGGTGGCATAGCTCTTCAGAGAGATGAATAAATGGCTTTCGTCGTTGTCTTGCATTACTGATAGCTTTCTCTCTGTTGAACCATGCCATTTTAAGCAGAAATCGGGATTGCTAAATTGAATTGATTCACCGCATGCTCGAGCTGACGACCATCTTCCATCGATCTGTAAATCGGCTTTCACAAACTCCTTCAATGACTCTAAGTCACCTTTCCAAAATAAATCGTCTTCCAAGATGTATAAGAAAGATGATTTTAACTTATTTTCAGTTGAACCATCATTTTCTTGTCGCGAATTTTTACAAATTCCGGAGCTCTGATTTTTTTGTCCGGTCGCCATCTTGGATCTCGATTGATTGATAATCTTATTCAGATGGTCTCGGGATATGGTTTAATATCACGATTTTCAGTTGCTTAGAAATACAAATACTAACCTAATATTTAAGACATTAAGCCACAGACTGTACAATTCAACCATGTAACCTATATAAATTAAAAGAATTATTATTCTTACGGTTTTTACATGATTTGATTAACTATCACAATTGTTAATTAAATTTTTTTTTTTTAATTTATTTACCTCAACCTCTAAACCCAGATTTAAACCTTTTCCCAAACCCTAACTTTTTACATCAACCATAAACCCTTTCAACTTTATTAACTCCAATCTTATACATTAACCATGGAAAATAATCTTAATACTCAACCACCATAACTTTAAGCTACTCATAAGAACTTAAAATTATATCTGAAATTCTGTAATAAATAATAAATAATTAATATTTATCATACCATTAAATTTAATTCATTTAAGTCATCAATTTACATACATTTAAATTGATAAAAATATATAAATATATATCATTATGAATATGTAATCGTTATGCTCATATTAATTTTAATTCTATAAATGGTGTATTATATGTCTATAGAATTTTACTTCTTGATTTTAACAGGGCGAAAATGAACTGCTTTGCAGAAATCACTCGCTCATTACTAGCACATTGACGACCAACAGACCAACAATAAATGGACTAACTGTTAACATGTCATTGATTCATTTCAATGATAATTCGGGAACCCTGTTAAAGGGATCCCTTTCGAATACCTATAAATGCCACATGGATTGCTAGTGATCTACCATCTCAAATCATTTTATTAAAAAATTCTACATCGCAATGTGTGCTTTGCGAGCGGAATGGAACAACGTCGAAAACCTGCACGATGCGGCGATTCCATCCTTAAAAGACAAAATATATATATATATATATATGAGGCTGCATGCTAAATTCAACTCTTACAATTTGTAATAAATTTAATAATAATAATAACACATTTTGTTAGCTCTTGCTAATGTTTCAACACAATCATCGTCTCGACATTTACGTGGAATATTACATACACGACAATGAATATGACAATATGTTCGCACGTAACAAATACAACATACAAACTCCCACCCACAATTATAAAAGTTTGTCGATTGAGTACATTTATCATGTTCACAAGTTATGTTCCACATTTGTATTATTTGTTGTACATCAAACATTGGTCGATCCATTTCAAACAAACATCTATCGCATCTAAAATCCTCAAAATCTAGCGTACTTTCTCTTCTTGTATAATGAAGTGGTAATTTTGTATTGTTCGGGCCAACCACTCAGTTATACAATCGCGTTAACGCGTTAATTGACCGTTCAGTCATTAACTTTCTTCTATGTAACCACGCACGCTCATTAAGGGGAAGGTTTAACGACTTGTGTGAAAGAATAGTTGGATTATGAAGAATAGGTCTTTTATGTAACCGCTCACGCTCATTAAGCAACAAGCGAAAGGTTTAACGACATGTGTGAAAGAATAGTCGGATTATGAAGAATAGGTCCGAAAGTTAAATATAATAAATAATTAAAAATTCAAAAAAGGGAAACCCACAACTCCCCCCCCAGTTTGTTTTATGTATAAATAGACCCAGCATTTATTAGTGAAAAAATCATAAATCTCTCTGGCAAGAAAAATGCAGCAGCAAAACAGTTTGCATTGGTTCATCGTACCTGGAATAGGATGAGGCTTTAATGGTTACCTTTCAAGAGACCAGTTTTCCCACCGTCCTGGTATCCAAAAGACGGATGGTTTTATTTGCTTTGACGAGATAGCCAAAAACGAGCGTTTGTCGTTTGACATGCCCTGCTGTGGGCATGTAATCCATCTGACATGCTGGGAAAAGTGGGAAGCAGAAAAAAACATCAACACCTTCATGTCCGATGTGTAGATAGATTTGGAGGAGCGAAGTGATGTGTCAGGCATGTCTACGGTCGAAAAACTCCCAACTGAAGTGGTGGTCCCCGGGCAGAAGACTGATGCATCATTGCGAAGTACGCCAGGGAAAGTAAAGAAACCACAAAACGGCCCTTTTAAGGGCCAAACAAATTTAATAAAAGAATATACGCGTCTAACTCGATTGGCTAATTTTACCTACAACACCACACAAACACTTTTTATTAGTTAAAAAAAAAATTATTCACAAATATACGATTGATATTTTTAACCACACACTATTCATACAATTTCTAATGACGTATCACTAGTGTTTTAAAAGTTTGTTTGCCACTGTAATTTTTTAGCTCTTTTCTTAATCGATGAAGAGTCCGGTATGTCATTTTGTAGTGATTTACGAACTTTTCCTCTGTCTGGGGTTTTTTCGTACCCAAACGTTTTAAAAAGTTGAAGTCTTTCCGGGTTTCGTATTAGTTCCGCTGGGAGATTCATTTCACTCAAGGCTTTTGTAAAAATTTCGTATCCCTTCGGCGTATTATTTTTTTGTATTTAAGCAAGTAGCCTAAAAGATTAGTGATATTTGTGTTGGGCAAAGTTTCTCCATCGTATTTTAGTTCGCCCCGATCATTCGAATCTAAAATTTTCAAATTATCTTGAATACGTCTTAAAAGGATTTTAGCCTTTTGTTGCAAATTTTTCAGTAATACTTCAATAATATCCCCCACACTTTGTCTTTCAACATTGTCTGGCGTTGTGGTTCTAATGACTTTTGTTCCCATTTTTGTTTCTTCCGACAATTGCACAGGGATTGGTTCAGTGTTTTCCACATTTCGCTTCCCTTTGAAATGAAGGTAGTTCTCTAATATCTGACTGTAGAGCTTTGCTTTTTCATCCTGGGAAGTGTCATTCCTGTCTAAAACAGTTTTCATTTCACCATCTAACAGTGCCATTTTTGTCACAGTTGGTGGGGTCGTTAAGCGTTGCTGACGTAGGTAATTATCAAAATTATTTTCCGGTATCAGAATAATTTTTTGTGAATGCTTCATGTCTCTATTCTATGAGCGATGCTAGTTCTTTTAAAACAGGTCCCAACACTAAAGTAAGAAAGCCTTCCCCGTTTTGAACAATCGTTTGTTGACGCTTTTTCAATGGTGTACCTTTCTTGACAAGCACCCTTAAATGATCTTTGCGCTTAGCTAGCTTCCTCTTTTGAACTGGTGACATCTTAACTACACTCTTCAAAATATTGAATACACAATCACAGATCGCCTTAATGCAACTCGGCTCTAAATGTTTTAACATTGCTTTACGCAGCTTCGGTTTTGCCTGATGTAAAACTTTAAGTATGTGAACGTTCCTTCTCATGTGAACAGACATGGCAAAATAACTGGGGCACACAAAATCTTCACTTTTTAACGTAAAAAACCTGCCGCTCATCTGGAAATATTTTTGCACGTAATCTATATTTATCTTCAGTTTGAGGGTGCAAATCTATTAATAAGTAGGAATATGCTTCCTCGGTCGCGTCTTTATAAGCCTCAATTAGATATTGACCACAGCCGGGATACATTTGGCGTGCAAGAGTCGAAATAACTGTCTGGTCCCTAGGGCTTTTGAAAACAACCATATAGTGACAATTCAGCGAACATAAGCGAGAAAATTTCCCCTTATTAAATAAAGCTTGCTGTAAAAATATTACTGAAATGGAACGGTGATGTGAACCTTTGGTAAACAAATTTGCAAGTTCTAAATTATCCAGTAATTCATTTTGAAGGTCATCAATGATCATTAACGTATAAAAGGACGGATCAGTTATGCCTTTGACATCAGGGAGACCCTCATAAAATTGTATCTCTGGCATGTTTTGTCGTATTTCGTCAAAAATAGGCTGATATTCTCCATAACAATATATGATTTGGTCAACGTTTCGGTTAATCATTTGCGGTAAGTTTTCAAGAAACTTTTTTACCCAAACGGTTTTGCCTGACCCTGAAGGACCAGAAATCTGCAACCAGAAACAAGCTTTTAGGTTTGGGTCCATGGCAGTCAGACGCAAATGAAAACACACTGATGGTGTTGTAAGCATTTAAAGTCTAATGACCGCATTAATTTTACTATTCCTGTCTTTTTTAAAACTACATTCTAAAACAGATTCAACAAACAACTATGAGCCGAATTCAACAACCCCACAGATATCGCCCTGGCAATATCCCTCTTAGGTTCATTAGACCATTGCTAGACCATTGTGGCGTGCCCACAAAATTACATAGCGCTATCAGTCGTAAACCAAAAGAGACAGAGGCCTGTCATATATGTCTAGAGGAAATCAGATTCGGACAAACCAGGGCAATTGCGACACCTTGCTGCGACCACTACGTGCATCTAAGGTGTTTTAGAAGATGGAAACGCGAACGGCGTCGCAAAAAGCAAAATATCACATGTACCATGTGTCAACAACGGTGGGATTCTACATCGCTATGCAACATGATCTCTTCCCAAAATTAAAGCAATATCTTAATTGTAAAAGAGCTCTCAAATTAAGGTATTGCCTTAATTTTAATGATGATGAACGCTGAGCAAATTCGGGACCATATCGCTGACGCGTCTTTGCCGGGAGTGAAGAAAGAAAGCCAAACGACCCAAAACTATGGTCTTTCTATCGTCGTTTCTTTCACAAATTTACCTACTTTAATCTTTTATTATTACAAATTTCATGAATATGGATGAAGTTCAAAGACCAACGGGTAAGAATTTGTTTAATAGAGCAATGCTATGTCCATGATCCCTTTAGTTGATCATAGAATAATATAGTATTATATATTACAACGTGAAATGCTCTCAATTTCAACTGTTTCGAAAACTTTATACAGTATATTTACGACGATTTTGTTGCTTGATAGGGAAAGCAAACAAGAGTAACAACGGCAAGGCCAAAAAACAGTTAAGCGAACGTCTTGATAGGGCTTTGGAAGAAGCTGAAAATCTATTTTCGACTCCTAAAGCTGGCAAAATGAGAAAGAAGAGCCACATTGAAGTCAGAAGAGACAACAAGGGGAATAGAGTCTACCACTGTCCCAGAAAAGGTAGTATTTGATAGTATACACATAATATCAGTGGCATAGGACCTGTTTATATGAACCCAGCTATAAACTGGGAATTAAACTACTCATCTGAGTAATATCTGCATGCCCATTGTTTATAGTTTGTTAATGCAATAAATTCACACTGCATAAGAACCCACCAGCCCAAAATTTGGGCAAATAAGAACCATTTCATGCAGGCTGACAAATGAATTAACCTGGTTCTTAAAAAACCTTGTTAAACTTTTAGCTGAATTAGTAAGCAGGTACTAGGAAGAAAACAAAATACTGTTATAATATATACATGTATAAATCTTGCCAGCATATTATGTCTTTCATCGATCGACATCATGCATTTATTTTACAGTATCAAAACTAGTTTCATTGTATACAATAAGAGGTTTACAACTCTAAACCAGGTTAGTTTATGACTGGAAATTTAATTAAGAACCAGTTTTAAAAGAACCACTTCAGCCTGAAGTCAAAATTCACTGGTTCTTTTATGTCATGGGTTTTACTGTATTAGTTTGAGAAACAAGCCACCAGCGCAGAGCTTGGGTTGGTGAGATCTCACCTCGCACTACAGTAGGTGGGATCTCATTCAAGTCACATTGTCCCACCTGACTGTGATGGAGTTTTTTGCTGATTTTGACCAATAATATGGTATTGAAGCAGGGTATTAGTGTTATATATCGCAGCCAAAAATGGAAAAACATGGCTAGATGAAATGAACGTGGCTTCATCATTTATTTGTAGCCATGTAGGTTCATAAAATAAGGTTATGCTAAGGAGTCACAGATTCCTCCTGGGTGAACCCACCCATCTTGTTTTAAGCCAGCGAACGGCAAATTTTGCCAGCGCTAAGGAGACATTTGACAGCCATTCGCCAGACGTTGTGTGTAATTCTCCGGTACTTGCGGTCAGACAATATACCAAATAAACAAAGTTTGCAAGCCTTTACCCACCATTCAATCACACAGCGCCCTTGAAGTTTCAGCCTTCCATTCTTTGCATACTTGCTTTGCTCATCAGTTAATAGTAGAGCAAAACGGTATTGGCCATACCCAAATTATTATCAGCCAGCACTTCAAACAGATACCTGAAGGACTGTGAACCAATTCAATATTTCATGGTCACATTTAGCATTTAACGTGGTTATTCCATGTGTTGATCAAAAGCCTAGTAATGTTCTAACCATCCACTTACTATTAATTTCCTAATGTACAAACTAGCATCTTCCTAGTGTCCAATTTGCTAGTGTTGAAACTGGCAACTTGTCCTCGTAGCTCAGTTGGCACTGCATTGGACTAGTATCCCAAAGGTCATGGCAGGTTGGATACACATTCAGAGTAACATCAGAAACATCATATTCACCTGAGTACATAACATGCATGCACACAAAAAAATAACATAGTATCTGCCATATTTTGAAGTCAGTTTGAATGCTCAGGCCCGAATTAACCTTACTTATGTAAGATGTGACTTGGCCTGTCTGCCATTTTGGTTGTGTGGCCAAGGTGAATGGGGGGACAAGGGGCCAACAGGTGAAAACTGCAATACAGTAGTTCCATTGTACCACATATGTATTAACTTCACTGTTAAAATTACCACTTCACTTATTTTGTGCTGCATATACAGTAGTTTGCCACCCAAAACTGATGGACAAAGCTTGGTTACACATGTGACAAAGACTAATTTTGTGTTCATTGTCTAGTTTAAATACATAACATTAAAGAATTATTATTTTAGTTAGGACAAATATTGTTGGGGAAAGTTTTGACATGGCAGATGATGTGAATTCATTACTATCACCCATAATTTTCAGCGAGGAACATGGCGATGATGAGATAAATTATGAAGGTATATACAGTACATAAAGTTTACAAAATGTGTGTTAGTAACTCTACCAATGACCGTTTATTTTACTTGTCAAGGGGGAAATTGCCCGGTGCTATTAAAGACAGTAAGTTGCCAGATTATCTGTCCTCTGACTATTTCTATTTTGTTATTAACCTTTTTAAATTTTATGATTCCAGAACAACTGGCTAGCATTCTTGATGAATGTGATGAAATATACAATGATATGTCTGGAGACGAAGTTGTATCCATGTCTCAGTGGCAGACGAGGACCACGTCTAGTAATTCCAACTGGGAAAACTGGAGAGATCAGTTTTTCTCGGCTGTACTGCATTCATGTGTTATTCCTGAGGGTGAAGTAATGTGTGTGGCATGTGGTAATCAACCAGCAGTGGTTAAGTGCTCTACATGCATTGTTCAATATCTATGTCCTGACTGTGATGATGCAACACATAGTGAAAAGCCTTTGCACGATCAACAGGAATGGCTGAATGGGTTTTTTAATTATCTTAAACCTGAACAAAGTGTGTCAAGGGAAAGGGAGATCATTATAAATGGTACAATAACAAGGGTGGCCTATTTTATTTTAATCAGTCTACTCAATTAGATAATAAGCTAGAGTCTGGAACATTGATGTCCAATTTCTTTTATTAATTAATTATTCCAATTATTATGTCGCTCTGCCAATGTCCCTTTATTATTCGCTTTGTCTTATAGTAGCCAACTTTACATGTGATGGAGAGGTACAGTCTACCTAATATGTGCATTGTTAATAACACACTGTGTGACAGTAATCTTCAACATGACATTGGAACCTCAATCACATTTTCAGATTTTAACTTTTTGTGTTGCAGAACGTTGCTATCCATTGATTTTCAAAACTCAATGTAAATCATGTGGTCAAGAACAATTACGAAAATGTGTTTCAGGAGATATGGTGATACTAGTTACCATGAAAGGTTTGTATAGTGTTTAGGCCTTAAGCTTTTAAAGCTTAACACAAGACTACTTATGGCTTGAAATTTGCAATATCCTGATATTCACGGGATAATTGATTTGGATACTGGATATCAGGAATTGATGTACATACCCATTAGAATAGTTAAAAATTATCTCCCCCACAGTATTGAAATTTGAAATTAGCTTCAATCTAGTGCTGTGCAAACTCCGGTTTTTCATCTCCGGCTCCGGCTTCGGCCGAATTACAGCTCTGAGCTCCGGCTCCGGCCACATCATAAAATATTAAATAAATGTTTTACCATCAGAGAACATTTATTAATATTATTACGAATAACCCTTTTCGTGCTTCCTAATTATCAGATAACATAACTCAGGAAACAAAACAGTGAAAACACTTAACCACGCAGAAAATATCTATATGGAAACCAGCCTCGAAAAATCTTTGACACGAGGCATGACGCGAGGCATGACGCTAACACTCTCAGACTCCACAGCACAATTGTTCGCACGCAAACAAAGTACTCTGTCATTTTCAAAAGGTTGATATTTATTTGTTTTGTACTTTTTTGTTATCTACAAGGCATGAATATACAGATTACAGTATGTAGCGCTAAGTCAGATAGCTTCATGAAAGCATGACGTTTGTAAGTTGCGATCGTATTACAGCTTTTCGACGCTGTTCCTGTGGGCTGTGGCAGTTTGAGTCTATGATGAATTCATTAACAGCAATTGGCAGTTCGCAGTAACTAACAATCGTTTGACATTTGTCTCATTTCATATTGTTTTCTTGTCATTTTGCCGGAGCTGGGAAAACGTAACTCCGGCTCCGGGCTCCGGCATACAAAATTCGGCTCCGGCATTGGAAAAACCGCCGGAGCTCCGGCAGAACTCCGGCTCCGGCAACTCCGGCGCACAGCACTACTTCAATCATTCAATCTAACGACTGTAGAATGTCTGCATGTTTTCCAAATAAGGAGTAAGGTTTTTCTGGCTGTGTTCTGTAGATGCCAAATTTTAAGTTGCTATAATATCCCATTGGATAATACTGAAATTTCAAGCCATGTTTACATAATGTCAAAGGGAGAGCTTTGTCCGTTAATTAATGAGTTAATTAAAAATTATGTGTGTTGTGTTATTTTTTGAAAAATGTGAAATTTTATATTTTTATAGGTCGATATGATTTGCACTGGTGTTCCCTTGTTTGTGAAGGTTGTGATTTTGTTCAGCCAATGTCAGTGACAAACATTATAAATGAATAAATGAAGGATATTGGCCTGGTTCTCCATGCCAAGTAAATTACCTTTTTGATCAGGAAGTGTTTAGGGTGTGGGAAAACTTTCGAATGCGGATGCCTGGATCATCAGAATCTGCATTTATTAAAGCCTTGGAGGATATTTCGTCAGCTAAAGGCCGGGTAAGACTAAAACAGACTGTATTCTATGTGACCATTATGGCATTGTACATTCTGTACATGAGTCATGTATGTATAATTCACAACATGGTCACAGAATACTACACAGAAGTCCATCTCCATTGCTTTTTGCATAAGCTTTATTCGTCATGATTTGTCACTCAGCAAGTACTGCAAACAGAAGCAGTCACCCCCCTTGGATGTGTGCCATCTTTAGTATTTTCAGGGGGGCTGCTTCTGTTTACGGTACTCGCTGAGTGACAAATCATGCCGAATAGAGCTTATGCAAAAAGCAATGGACATGGACTTCTGTGTAGTATTCTGTGACATGGTATAACTGTATTAGTGAGATTTGTTTCAGTGAGTGTTGTGTATGGTACATGATATGAATACAACTTTTGATTAGCAATTTAGCATGTCAGTCAGGATGCAGTAAGTGAATGATAAGCAGTATACATGTAGTATATTTACTATTTACAGCATACATATTTCCTTTCATTGCCAGGCTGGTACAATTAACATATCCACCTTTAGAAAGGCTGCAGCTGAATGGAGATACTGTCAATATGAGGTAGATAAGTTGCAGGAAATAAGATACATTGACTGTCCTCCATGCTCTGTGTCACAACATTCTGCACATGTGGATGGAAATTAAAAGCTTTATCGATTTAGGAGTGTGCCAAGGTATGCTGACAGAGCATGATAAGTACTTTACACAATTTAATTTTTCCTACAGGCAATTTTTCAAAATGGACATGTTAAGACACCCCTCTGCTATGAACAGTTCCCTGTGTACCAGATGATATGTTCTTCTCTTCTATACTGATCATAAACATGAGCTCTTCTATCATGGAAATCTCTGGAGAATTGAAGGTCTCTCGTACACATTGGTTTATTCATTTTGTGTCAATATTAAAATTCAGTTCAACTATATTTAAAGTAATCTTCTGTACCAAAAATCACAATTCACATCTCTGTTTTTTACAGTATGTATGTATGTATGTAATAGGTTATTTTATCACCATGCAAACATACAAAGAACGTATGTATGTATGTGTTGCACAAACAAAATTTAAAACAATGCTCATTGTGAATTATCACAATGTCGATCATACTGTGATAAATTAATTGTTTCGAATTTTGTTTTTGCAAAATGTGGAGAATCTAGTGCCCATTCATACCAGATTATATTATTCAGCTGCATGTACAAATCTAACTGTAATATTCCGTATGTGAAAATTAGTTTTAATTGCTGTTATTGTAGAGGTAATAGAACATCTTACTATGGGGATCTTTTCATAAAAAAAACGAAGATGTGGATAAGCAGATTATTGAAGTATATAACACAGGAAAGAAAGAGGTATATATTCCAAAAATGCAACCAGTATATACTGTACTAGTATACATGGTCATGTGCACGGCTAATCGTGTGATGCCTGTAATGTGTTGTTTTTACAATAATTGTGCTGCAAAATAATCATAGCACCTGGGCATCACCATTTTCTCTTGTTATTCTTGACTGAGGAATTTTGCAAAATTGCATTGCTTATAGTATTTTGCTGTTGTTGATGTAACTAAGGATATAATTAACAGAAATAATTTTTGGAACATTGTCAGACGGTAACTTTGATGGTAACTTGTCACTATGGTAATGTTACTATGACAATTTTATGTACAAATGTACAGTATACAATAATTATGTAGCTGTCTTTGTAATTTGTTTAATGTTACTGTACTATAGGTTGAAAACAATGCCTGTGGAGATTCCCACTGGAAAGCAGCTAAGGCCATCAGTAAAAGCAAGAAAAAGCAAGAAGAAACTGGTATAGAGGTGGCTTGCTGTCGGCACAGTTTGGCACAAGCGGCAGTTAATATTTTTCGAGGAGAAATATATGGGTATGCACACTATTTACACACCCAGTACCTTGTACCAAAACAAGTCAGATTTCTGTGGCAAGATGTAATTTGTCTCTACTGGCCCCATGGGCATTGTCAAACACACCTACTCGATTCACTGATGCTCTGAATATAACTCCTGCCCTATCGGTTATGCATGGCAAATCTCATTCTTGGAACTACCAGGTATATCTTCTATTTTGTATGACAGTGTATGTATACTGTTCATAAAATAAATATGAACGCCTAACAGTTTTCCCTTGAGGCTAGACAAAGTAAAAAGTATTGCCATATTGTGGAGGTCAGACTGCAGGGGCAGATTCAGCATCTCAATCTGACCGTAGCATTTAGGATGAAATCAACATGCGGGGCCAAAGGCCACGCCCTACCTAGTGGGGTTTGGGGGCATGCCCCCCAGAAAATTTTTGAAATTTGAAGCCTGCAAGTACCATTTCCTGCATTCTGAGCATTGAAATTAGATTTAAAATTTGTAGAAAAGTGCCTGTTTTTCACACCAAAATAAGAACAAAACGCACGAAAGTCACAAAATTTATTCATCAACATGCCACTTCGAACAACAGATTATCTTGAAAAAGTAAGATAACAGTAGTTCGAAAGTTTTCATATGTACATCATCTTGAAACAGCGGCCCATCGACAGTTAGGGAAAATGTTTATCTGGCTAAGCAGCATCATATATAGATCATCCCGAAACAGCAGGACAACTTATGGCAGTCAGGAAAAATATTTTCTGTACTGTATATAGATTATCTCCAAGTTATAGGAAAATGTTTATTTGTAGATCATCTTGAAACAGCAGCACAACGGCAATTAGGAAAAATGTTTATTTGTATATGTTTTTTGTACTAAAATTCGAGCAGTTCTGCAGGAATTCGCGCGGAGCTGGGTGCTCAAATTTTAGTACTGCGGGAAATATAATCCGCGCGAAAAGCTTTGCGGTGTAATATTCACTCGTTGTTAGTAAATAATATAATGTAAGGCAATACCATATACGAACCTATAATATATGGGATGCTACTAAAAATTAGTTATTGTTATTGTATTAGGCAAATGAAAACCATACATTTTGAAGTTTGAACTTTATACACTTTACTGTTATCATGAATTTTGTTTTGACAAATATTGAAGTATTTGTTGTTATAGTTCTATTAAACAAACCAAAAGGAACCAACACGGAAAATTACTTGCGCGAATTTAAAGCTGCGGGAACAAGTTTCGCGAAATTGGAATGCGCAAATTTAAGGCTGAACGAAAATGAGTATACGGCGCGAATTTTAATACAAGTAAGGTATACAATACATGGATTTGAAACATCTAACCATATATTTATGATACATTATCACAGGAAGCAGGCTCAGCTGTTGTAATTCTAAACTCTGTTGGTATACATGTAAACTACAGTACAATAAAATATATCGGAGTGTAAGTATTTCTATAAATTTCATTTACACTACTCACTAGTCTTTATAGACTACAACAGGTCTACAACTAATAATTACATGAGCAAAGTCTAAGATATAAAATATATAGGAGATTAACTAACATATTTCTTAATATAAACACACATGGCATGCCAATGGTTATCAAATAGTCTGAGTGGCCATTGATATTGTTCTGCATTTTTATAATAATACGTTTCATCAGCAAATATATGGTAATATATTCGAGACGCCTGAACTGTGTAAAATTCGATATGTTATTTACATATTTAATATACTATTCATGAGACTGACCTGACATGGAGGTGATTCAAACAGCGCTGTCTTCACAGTTCACATCGCGGGAAATGCAAATTATGCCAATAATCACACACCAAAAGCTTTCGATCAGAATTCTTTCGCGCACCTTTTCGTTAAATGAAACACGTTTACATTCGTTCATTATACACAGAAGATCGTGGTGTCCTGTACAAGCCATGTCTTTCTCCTTGGAACGAGCGGCGATTAAAATTTACCGACTATTCAATTACAACGAGGAGCCGACACAACAATAACAAGCCAGCATATCGCTCTGAAGTCGATGCGGCTATTGCAAACAGTAGCATTTTGCCTCATTCTGATTGGCTTGCTTCGTCTGACCGTAGCAAACCAATCAGCACGCCGTATTTGCGAATTTTTGCAACGGTCAGTTTCAATCTGACCACTGCAAAAATTTCCAAATACAGCGCTATGATTGGTTTGCTACGGTTAGACGAAGCAAGCCAATCACAATGAAGCAAATGCTACGACTTCAGAATGATGTGATATAGTACTAGTGCAAAACCCGCAAATACAGGCAGTATTTCGGGCGGAAATTTTAGAAAAACCCGAATTTAATTATCCAAAATGAAATAAAAACTCGATAAAATTGTATCAATATGATTTAGTAAATTTAAAAAAAATTGCACCAAGTTTCAATGAAAAATTGAAAATAACGGCAATTAAAAATAGTATAACGTTTTAGTTTTTAATAACTTTAAAAAAGGTACAACCTCGAAAAATATATCTCAGGGAAAATCTGACCGTAGCATATGCTACGGTTGCAACGGTCTAAATCCGCCCCTGGACTGAACCTTGTGGCTTGTGCTTATACAGTACACTTAGTGTACTACACTAACTGCTCGCGGTGTAATTTTATATAGTTAGTTATGCTTTAATTGCAGTAGCCGCTTTTGATTGTTGACAACTTAGACAAATGTTTATGGTAATAGTAAAAATACTGGAAAGTTTTGTTACTGTATTTTGAATAATAAAAAATATTAAGAACATTTTGTGCTAATTTATTTTTTATTTCAGTGGAAGCTGAACAAATGAATACATACATACATACATACAAAACTTTATTTAGACCACGCTAGCCTCAACAGCCGTTGGAAGGCTGGTTTCCATGAGGGGCGTGAAATTACCTATTTACAAAAAGTTAACTATATACAGGAAATACAAAATATAACAAAATAAATAAATACAATTGATTTTATCTGCGCGATTATACACAAGCAAATTTCAACTCATTCTTTGTTTCAATATCGACTTGAAAGAGCTTAGAGATTCAGCAATTTTTGCCTCATGGGGAAGATTATTCCAATGCAAGGCACCATTATAACTGAAGCACCTCTTGCCGAATTCTTTTTTCTGCATAGGTGGTGCTAAATCAGTATCCGTATTTCTAAGATTGTAAGTATTATGTCTTTCATTATTAAAATGAAATGCTTCTTTAAGATTTGGTGCGGTGTGGCCATTCAGAACTTTATAGATGAAAATAGATTTAAGATAATTTCGTCTTTCTTCTAGAGGTTTCCAATTTAGATTATTGAGTAACTCAGATGACCGAATATCGTAAGTTGCCCCAGTAATTACTCTTGCAGCACGATTTTGGTATTTTTGCAACTTATCTTTGAGCCCAATTCCACAATTATCCCACAACGAGCTGCAATAATCGAAATAAGGCTGTATAATAGCATTATATAGCATTTTGGTTGTCGACAGTGGTACATTACAGTGGTACATTACATTTCTCGTCTCTACTACAAAAAGGATGACAGCAGCTGGTATGTATACTGTACACATATGTCGTTTTTTTGGAAACACGCTGTAGTATATGGTGGTAAAGTCAGAGAAATGGTTAGCGATTAAAAATATACGTCGTGGCATCTGTATAAAAAAACATTGAGCTGAATCTATTAAAGGTGTGAATATGCCCTTAGGCCACCTAATTCTTCATCTTTATTTTGCTGCCTTCGTTTATAGTGTTTGGCCTTTCCTTTCCTAGAGTACTGTACAGCACGGAAAATGTAGGCAGGTTGTGTTTAAACAACAAAAATCCATTACGTGCTTTAATTTCATTGTATTGTAGGACGCAAAGAAAGTCTTACTGAGCATGTTTTAGGATGGAATAAACGAAAGGTCTTGAACATGCCTACGTATCTCAGGATGCGTTATGCTAAGGTTTGTTTAATATACGTGCAGTATTTTGGTACTACATTGCACTGTAGCATGGGGAAATACTGCTGTACCATATATAATTATGGGCTACAAGATTGGCTGATTTTCGCTCATTTTATTGCAGACTGCCAAAACACTTGTAGAAAAGCAAGAAGAATTACAAGAAACTCTATCGGAATTTGGCCTACAGGCCAAAGAACAAACTATTTTACAGTGGAAGAAAGCTGTTGAAGACTTTACACGAGGTTGGTGCCGTGTGTAAATACACTGTAGTCTGTAGTCGTCGGTAGTACCCCTTGCTATATGTATGTGTGAGGTATAATAAATTTTATAGCGACAATTTATGTGCGCGTGTGCTTACTGTAATCAGGGTTCCAAATGGCATTTTGCTTGTGCCTGGGGTTCAGTATTCAAAAAAATTAATAGCCCAATTTTCTTAGTTTTCATGCAAATACCCCCCTAAAATTTTTTGGGAGTGACTTACGAGAGGCTTATAAGTTATACCCTTATAAAGCTAATTTAGTGTAATTAAATCAATTATAGCTGGTGATGAAAAGGAAGAGCAGTATGGTGATATTGAAAATTACTTCATGTTGTTCCATCAAATTTGTGATGCTACGTTGTTGAAATCATTTTTGGAGGGAGGTGTTAAACAAACACGCGACCTACTTGGTAATGTTGTACAGTGTAGTCCAAGATTATGCAACTGGCAAGTATGCAGCAACGCTTGAGCAAGATAAAGGAAAAACTCCATCACCTTCCAGAAGAAGTGCTTCTTGAGAGAGGAAAAGAAAAATTGGTATTGAACTCGATATCGAAATTACAAACGAAAGCGGAAATTATATATTTTTCAACACAGAGGAGGACACGTGATATATCTAAAGTAGCTGGTATGTACCTCTTGGTCGGCTGTGATCTATAATTATTTTTCCTTTTTATTTTAACTTTTTTGTGTAATTATATATTAATAGATCGATCTAAAATGAGATCAAGATGAGAAAGAAAATGAGCAATGAAAAACAGAGTTTAAAATCAGTTGTAGATAAGTTAAATGCTTTTGGCTCCATGTGTGACAGATCGAATATTTCACTTGAGAAGATCTTGGAAGGAACTTTTCCATGGTCAGACAACAGCGTGGAATTTGGTAATGTATACTCTTCCGTATCAACAATACTATCAACAATAAATATAATAATCACATTCTTGTAAGTCAAGTCAAGTTCTTTTATATTAGTATATATGTGGGTTTTTAGACTCTATTCCTATTCGTACCAAGGCCAGTGTTGTGGACAAATACATTGGTGTACAGCGATTAAAAAAGGAGCAAACTTTGTTGATTAGAGAAATGATGAATTTTATGGGATACTACCGAGACAATGTCCTTAACAATTTGGAAAAACAACATGACGAGATCAGAGAAACAATTGGTAAAATAACGATTGTTGGCGTTGTTACTCTAATTAGCCCCACATGCAGTATTAGCATAATTACATAGGTGATTATTGAAAATTCTCCACACAGATTGATTGCCGTTGAGGTGATTATAACGCGATATCGCCTAAGAGATTCCGGAAATGGCGGCCGAAGCCGTTTTGTAAATTAAATGACGACGAAATGTGTAGTTTCAATTTTTTCCCAATTAATCACCTACGAAATTATACTAAAACAATTAATCACCTCAGGCTCGGTCATTATCATCAATAAATTATTATTCACCGATAATCACCTCACCTTCGGCGAATAATTGTTAAATATTATTGCTCATGCCCTATCAATTCCATTTTGTATGTTGTATTCAGAGAATAAGCTGAATCCAGATTTTGTTGAGGAGGAAAGGGTGAGTAAAAAGCTGTTAATAGATTTATGTCATTGTTTATGACAACATTGGATGTACATTTACATCTGCACATATAATTTTGTCCATATAATTACAGTTTAAATGATTTATAATATAAATCACATCAAGATGTGTGTGCATGGAAAGTTAACGTGCAGCAAAACGTCTTTAAATAGACGTGTGGACTTAATGTATTCTTAATATATGGTGCACATATTTTTCTTTTTCATTATCTAGGTCACACCACACTCGCTTCCTGAAATAGACGCGAAAAGATACTCAGTTAGCACAGAGAATCTTGTATCCCTAAAAGGAAAACTTGCCATGTGCAATGCTGGGAAGTGGTTTGCCAAAGTTGCAAACGAATCGTCGAGGAAAATGAAATGGAAGAATAGCTATAATCATGCATCATTTGTCTAAATAATTTCCAACATGTGAAAGATAATTAACGCGCATGGAATAATTATAATGTACAGTAGAACAACACGACTTTTAAATGTGATATATGGAGTTTATAATAACATTGTAATTAAATCGAATTTTGTATGTTGATTTATTGTCTGGTTCCATAGAACACTCTGTATAGAGAATCTTGTGATGTGCAATGAACTCGCCTATATGTATTAAAACGCGATTGTGATTGGTTAACTTTTACATTAATCCCCATGCATAATTACAGTAACTATAGCCATATAACCGAACCCAGGTTTAAAAGAAGCACAGTACATCCGGTTAGCATTCATTTCTCGTTCAGAACATGTAAGTTAATTAATCATGTTTTAGTCCATCTGTCTGTCCATGTATATGAGACAATGATAAATGGATTGTCTGGTGCAGCACTTTCTGTGCAAATTGGTTCGATTCCAATTCAATCCTTTCATGTCTATGAATATAAAGGCCACGTAAAAAAATACTTGTTTCGCGTCCCACCCCACCTGAAAAAGTGCACCCGACCTCCAATTTTTAAATTTTTTATTTTCCAAAAAGCCTTTAATTATTTGGTTTTGCTCATAGTAATATATTACAATTGTCCCGCGTCCATTATATATTGACACAAGATACCTCAGTTTGATTCATATCAGTGGCAAGTACAATCTATAAATGAAATATTTTTATAATATAGCATTTGTAAATTCTGAACGCTGATTGGCTAAGAGCCGTGTTGATATAACTCAATGTCGACATGGAAACGTCAGAAAATTTATTTCTTTATATTTCTTTGTGCTATATTATAAAACTAATATAAATAATTTTTTCCGTATTGAGATACAGTTATATCAACACTCATGGAAATTGGGAAAACTCAAAATTGTGTGAAAACACTCCGCCCTTCGGACGTCATGCTTCCACACAATTTCTCGTTTTCCCAATTCCCACTTGTGTTGATATAACTGTATATCAACACAGAAAATTTTTATATTTGTTAAATATTAAAATTTAGTTCTGTTGGTGAACCCGGCCAGGACTTAATATTGTTTTTATCTATCTTACATCGTCCTACAGAAAAGCATAAAGTTGTAGTATTTTTAAAATATAAAAAACAACATGCAGAATACGAATAGGCCCCGCTGACAGACCGGTCAGAGTCTGCAATGTTTAAAAAGAGCTCCCACCCGACTGGGAAAAATAAAGCATGTGGCCGAAAGTATATATAGTTAACGTGCATTATGCAAGGTTTTTCTTTTTTCCCCTGGAATTTATTTCAACAGTTAAAGATAATGTAATGTAATGTAATGCCCTGCTTCGCATTCCCAGTATATTTTAATAACAGTGTTCGGCCAAATATGACCGGTTTCAAAGACAAACTTATATTTTATATTTCGCCTTGAAATTTTTACCACAAGTTAGACTTAGTAAAACTAATAAGCACACAAAGTTTCAGCAAGTTTCGTTACTTGCTAATGACGTATGTAAAATCAGGGTTTGTTGCACCTTGTCTATAATATACAGTATATACAGTGTTCTGTCAAATATGACCTGTCTCAAACACAAACTTAGATTTTGAATTTCGCCCTGAAATTTTAACCACGAGTTAGATTTAGTAAAACTAATAAGCACACAAAGTTTCAGCAAGTTACTTGCTAATGATGTATGTAAAATCAGGGTTTCGTTCCACCTCGTCTATAATATACAGTATATACAGTGTTCTGTCAAATAGGACATGTTTCAAACACAAACTTAGATTTTGAATTTCGGCCTGAAATTTTAACCTCGAGTTAGACTTAGTAAAACTAATAAGGAATTTGAGAAAAAAATTACACATACAGTTTATATACCTGATCTTTAAATCTTAACCCTAACACCGTGGCTATTCGTACTGGAACGGTACGCCGAGTTTGATTTGCTATTCGTACTGCAGTCGTAATATTTAAGATAAACCTGACTCCAACCCCTTCTCTAACCCTAACCAATAAAGGTCTAATAAACTATTTGAGAGTTAAATCAGCAGAAAACCGATGGCTAAAACTAAACTCTGACCCGACCTCGTTTCAAAAAACTATTTTATATTGCTACTTTACGTAATGTAAGAATCGGGTGCCATATTCCAGTACGAATAGCCACTTCGTTTAAATCCAATTAGGACTGTAGGCGCGAAAAAAGAGAAATATATTATATTCGTGCGGGCAACATGAGGAAATATGAACCCAACTTTAGTCTTTTGTTTTGCTGAACCCCAGGCCCATAGACATTTCGATGTAAGTATACCTGAATTCGTCTGTGGCTGTTCGAATTCTTATGCTATTTATTATTGTGCTAGTTGTAGAGTTTTGAGCGCGTTCCCGAATTTCTCAATAAGAAACATTATATATCATAAGACAACAGACTGAATAGTAAAACACATGTTTAAAAAAATATAAATAGGTACAATAATACTGTATATTTACAAAATATTTAAATCTAGTTTGTCTCTCCAAAATTATATTAATTTAGATACTTACATATTGATAATATTGAAGAGTAATAAAGAAAGTAGAACTGTTAAAATTTTATAAATAGGTGAAAGTTAAAATCTGCGTACGAGGTGAGTTATTAAGGGAAATTCTTAAACTACTGTATATATATGCTTAAGCCTTAACCTTACAGTAACATTTCGAACTATACAGTATAAGTTTGGCTGCATAAATTTCGAATCAGTCCTAACTTCCTACTGCATCATGGTACATGAATTCTAAAATACCAATATAAATCGAATTGGTTTTGAAATAAAAATCAATTTCAGTTTAATGACAATGCCTTAGATCCTTCAAATTTAATTGCATAGTTCTAGTGTTTGTAACAGGCAATAAAAAGGAAATGGCAATAAAATCTGAAAGAGATATTTATAAAAAAATACCAAGTGGTTAAAAAGGACATGAAAGCGCCGTATGTCCAACATCCATTAGTAATACATAATATAGCCCTGCAAAGTTTGCCGTTTAATTTTCACTCATTTTGTATTACGTGCGGAAAATTGATACCTATTTTTTTCAGAAAGTGGTACTGATCAATTTCCCATGCGTAATACAAAATGACTGAAAAACGGCAAACATTGCAGGGCTGTGGCCTGTATTATCCGCATTTTACATCATTTCGCAACAAAACTTCGGAATATTACTAATTTTGTAATGCTCTTTCAAGCCGTGGTGAAATTTTTTTGTTGAGATCAAAATTTTGGTTATTAGGTAATAGGCCCATTAACATATGGAAAATTTACCGTTGCTGTGGCAACAATGGGTTTCAATAATTTAAGCTCCAATTTTTATTTCATAAAATGATTTCTCATAGTGTATTAAATAGAGAATAATACATGGGTGCTTGGACATACCAGATTTATTTCGAGTGTTGAATATGATATCTCACGATTCAAAACGTCCGTAGCAATGCGTTTTACAACAAATGATATTTTCACACGTAAAAATATCGTATTTTTTACGTATGTTTAAATACGATTTTTCTCAGTGGCCAAAAACTCTATATAACACTTATGTTTATATAATAAATTACTTTAACAATTAAAAAAATACTATAATAGTTTTGTTTGTGGAAACACCACGTAAATGTATTACTGCAATTTATTTACGCTGTGTTTCCACAAACAAAACTAAGGCCACATAAAAAAAGATAGTTGGTTAGCGTCCTTAGCTTTTGCCAAAAAGTGAGCGGGCGGGCACTTTTTTTTTAAATTTTTACTAATTTTTAATGCCTTGGTTTTACTCACTGTTAGGTCCGAAACTGGATTTTCTTGCGCAGTACAGATATTTTTTTATATATTTCAAAATATGATTCATACCGTCATTTTCGCACGCAATTTCGCAAATTATTAACACAATTGACTACAGTCAACAGAAATACTACATACATTAGAGCCCGTTGATCAATAAAAGTTGTTTTTTTATAAATAAAAAATTTTTAAAAATCCTGAGCGGGGCCTTTTTTGTGGGCGGGCAGGGACGCTAACCAACTATTTTTTTTATGTGGCCTAATGTTTGTTTTATCGCCATGCAAACATACAAAGAACTTAAAAAAAATACTATCAAGGCAAAAAAATATTTTGAATAATTGGATTCACCTATAAAGTGTTGGGTCAATAGATTTTTTAAATTAAAATAATAAAATAATTCAAAATGCTAAGAGAAATCATTTGATGAAATGAAATTGTGTCACAGATGTCGATGTCCAATTAAAGACAAAATATCAGTCATATTGAAACGTCACTGTCCCCAAAAGCCTGTTTTTACATAAGATATTCTTTGTTTTTGAACAAGTAATAATTTTAAAAAATAAAAATACGGATCTCAATCGTAAATTTCCATTTTGTAAAACCGTATTGAGCCACCTTAATACATGAGTGCAAATTTAACGGGATTTATTAACAAGAGGCAAAGCAACAGAAGTCAGTGGCCAAGAATGAAACTCTCCTTTTCGGATTTTCTCTTGATCATCAAAAACACCAGGACATGGCGGCTTTAGCTGACACGTTGGCAAAACGTTTGTTACTTCAGTAATAACATGCCCTTGTTGTAATGGCTTGCCATGAATGGTTGTACAATTGTGCACAACACCCCAAGCTTGGATGCATTTATTAGCGTCAACAAGGCCAACCTTTGTTCCTGAAAATAGAAACAACCTGCATGAGATGAAAGATTTTTTGTAGTACTTAAATGCAGCCAATTGCAATTGACTAGGTAGGATTTCAGTCAAGTGGGACACAATTTTCGATATGAAAACCGGTGTCCCAGGATTTTCGCCCCCCCTACATTTTCGCCCCCCCGAGGGGCGAATTTCCTAGGAATATCGCCCCCCAGAAATCCTAGGAATTTTGCCCCCCTTTAGGAAATTCGCCCCCCTTTAGAAACTTCACCTTTTCTTTAGGATTTTCGTCCTCCGTTCAAAATTTCGCCCTTCCTAACAGTTGCATGGGATAATTATTACATGGCTTTAATCATTTGAAATCAGTATCAATTCAAAATTGTTAAGACAGAGTTTGAAATAACAACCGATCACCGATCAATGATCGGCAAGGAATTGCTTATGATCGGCGGAAAAGCAGGGTTTCGGTTTCCAACCTGAAAAAATCAGGGAAAGTCACGACTGCCGATCACCATGATCGGAAACTTTGGGAACGTTATTTCAAGCCCTGCATGTAAGAATACAAATTTACAATTACATGTATCGAAAGGGCTTACAGTTACAGTAGATCAATAGGACTTATGACGCTTCACAGCACACCATGCATATTTTGCATTTTCAGTGTTAATCCTTAAACTCATTGTTAAAAAGTAATCACCGTGGTGGTTATTGTAATTATTGGTATTTTTTGCATCCACGTTTTGTCGTTATCGGAAAATGTATGGTTTGTCACTATTTTTTACTTGCATTATTTCAATATAGTTTGTAAATCTCAGAAGCGAAGGGTAGACTAAGTACACTTGTCTAAGTACCTCAAATGAGTGGTTATGCAGACTGTGCACACCACCAGTTGCTAAGAAGCCTAAAATGTGTATATAATTTTGTCTCCTTGTAATAAATAAATAAATCACACAATAAATCTTTTCAACTTGCAATCGTTTTGTTTTTAGATCAAAAATTCAAAATTTATATGGGGGGGGGGCGAAATTCCTAAAGGGGGCGATATTCCTAGGAGATTCGCCCCCCTGGGGGGCGATATTCCTAGGAGATTCGCCCCGGGGGGGGGGCGAATCTCCTGTGACACCGACATATATGATACTTACATGTAAGAGCATAATTAAAGTTGCAATACAAGGTGCAGTTTACATTACAGCTTATATTGCAAATGACCTTGAGACGTGCATAAGCAAAACATTTGCTCATTGTTTTAAACTTGATGTTTATTGGATAAAAGTTGACGTTACTAGGGGCGAACTTCATTGTTGCTCAAGGTAAATTCATGTCAAATTCGACAGAAGTGTCCACATCGGTCAGGTGAGATAACGCTTTATATAATAACTACAGTGAAGTATGTAATTTGATTGGTCAATAGCCGTGGAGGACCAGACTATCCTTAGACATTGTTATTCTTACGCCAAGCGACGTAAAACTTTTCGTCGCTTGGCGTAAGAATAATGTCTGCGAGCAGGCTAGGCTATCCTGCACTTATCCAATTCAGTAAAATGCCTTTGCGGGGTTTTCACGGGATTCTCAAAATATCATTGTTTCACTGTAGTTATTTTATAAAACAATTACCCACAAAGGATAGCAGGATCCATGCACTTGGGATGTTGATCGACTTTTGGAAAGTGTAAAAATACACTCGTCTGCGGCTCGAGCATTTTTACGCTTTCCGAAAGTCTCGCAACATTCCTAGTGCATCAGTATTCCTTTATTCATATCGAAAATTGTGTCTGAATTGAATGAAATCCCACCTAGTGCAATGTGAGAATTCACCTGGTCACCCTGGCTCGTTTCTCATACAAATTAACAAAATGTACTTATTTTATGCATTAACTAAGTAAGAGTATGCACTCAGGTAAGTTTCTCGGTTAGTTGTGTTCATATGAACAGGCTCTTTGAGTAGGAAGAACAAATAGTAATCTTGAACTGTCTATGCCAGTGTAGGTAGTGCCAATAATATGACCCTTCGTTTGAAGGGCCTTCGCCCAAAACGTTGAAATTCTTCTTATATCTTAAGGTAGTTGCATCCCTACTAACGAAAGCGAGAACAAGTAGCTGACACGCTTTATATACTGAAAATGTTCCTCATGCACAAAGCTTTTACGCCTGCTGTTATGATTATGACATTCTTCTTTTTGGTAGTAATGTTAGTGTTAGTACCGATTTTAGTCTTGTTGGACGAATTTTCGGTGACATTAGTGCTAGTTAACGTCAAGTTAGTGTCACATTCAGTGTCAGTAACATGACTAATATTATTAATTGGATGTATGTTAGGGTTAGTGTGTATGTGGCTGTTAGTGTCATTAGTAGCGGTAGGGTTAACATGAGGATGTGTGTTACTGTCCAGGTTAGTGTGCATGTGGCTGTTAGTGTCATTAGCGGCGATAGGGTTAACATGAGGATGTGTGTTGCTGTCCAGGTTAGTATGCATGTGGCTGTTAGCGATAGTGTTAACGTTAATGTGAGGACGTGTGTTGCTGTCGGGGTTAGTGTGCATGTGGATGTTAGTGTCGGTAATAGCGATAGTGTTAACATGAGTGTGCGTATTAATGTTTACATTAGGGGACATATGACTGTTCGGGTTAATTTCATTAGTGGTAGAGGAAGTGCTATCTTCCTTTTTGTTCACCATTTCATTCATGAATCCAAGCCTAAAGATGTTCTTTAGGCTTCCACCAGCTTTGGAATTGTTCAACAGTTCCGTACTCAGACCAGGTGTTCCAAAATAATCCCAAGTATGACCTCTACTGTGAGATTTATGGAACATGACGGTATGTCATATTCGTGATTGGTATGCAGTACATCAACCTGCAAGGATAAATGAATATACAATTACGATATTATCACATACACACAGCATTACCAAAGCTTTACATTGGCAAAAGGTTTAACGCTAAACATTCCCGATTTCAATTTTATTTTCATGAGAATACATGCCAATATAAAGAAAACATTTTTTGGCAAAATACCGATCCCTGTCCCCTGACTAGAACAAGCCTTGGCACGACTGCTGCTTACAGTACATGCGCAAGGTCAACATGCCTATCAAGACGCTATCAATACTCAATAGTTTTCGCATGTGAGTTTTGATAGATAGAATTATAATTGTTTGTTGTTCATTGACATTGTATCAGTCATTGTATTTGAGACGTACTGGCGTGGTTGGAAATTCTGCATGAAATTTTCAGTCTAAATACTTGATTTTTAAAACTGGTAACAAAAGGTAATTTATCGAGTTATTACAGTACCCTTACCCTTTTTTTTAAAAGGTCCCATTGGTTTGAGGGATTAGTTAATTCTGGCAAAGACACCCTAGCCTTTTTTCTGCTTTGCTGAAAGTCTGAGCCACAATGAAAACACTGCCGACAGGCATTTCCAACCAGAGTATCACAAGTGGGGTATTTCTTTTTCCAAGTAGTATTCTGTATAAATAAAAATAAAATAATCTATTATTAATTCAAGAATGTGTTACAAAAGATGTTAACAACACAAGTATAATACGAATTTATACGGTAAAAAGTAAATTTAGAAGTGTTGAAATATTATAGTAATAGAAAGGATAACTTTAATTAGTTCATGTTTGGTTTAGCAACATACTACTTTGGAAACTGCTGTTCGCACACTTTCTTCTGTTGGTTCTAAATAATAGTCTAAAAAATAAAAAATAGTCAATTTTCAAAATTTTTACTATGAAAAAAAAGGAGGGAGATATAACCCCCTCGTGCATAATTATGGGGAGCGTGGTTGATGAGAGTTTCTCCACGTTTATTTGTAATTTGCAAGATGATATTATATTTATTAACATCATAGATTGATGGCCATATTTGCTGACTACATTGTAAGAAACATTATGTAGATAGCTGCAGAGGTCGAAAGGATTTCCTTCTTTCTGGGAAGTTGGGTTTAGGGTTCAAAATATTCTGCAAATGATTACAATATATAGAGGATATTACACGGCGGCGCGAAGATATGACTTTTTATCTTCGAGTGGTGAAAACAATATTTTACGAACGTGCGCAGCGAGTAAGTAAAATATTGTTTTTAACACGAGAAGATAAAAGTCATATCTTTAAGCCAACATGTAATGTTCTGTTTATCATATAGTCCGAAGCAAAAAATTGTATAAATACTAAAAGTCACATGATCAATATCCTCACTAGTGAAGATATGAAAAATATGTCACTGCGTATTTTTCAGCATCTCACTCTCTACTATATAATAAATAGTATTATAGAGAAAAATAACAAAGTGAAGCAATATGTCTTAGGTATTCAATCATTTCAATAATCAGGTAGTCTATTTGGTAATTTAGATATTCACTGATCAGTGCAATTTTCAGAATTAGCTGTCAAACATAAAAAATTTCTGCGAAAATTTCTGCAAAATTGTAGATCCCAAATAATTTTTGGGAATTAGGTTTCCCGGTTCCGATACTTCCACCTCTGGATAGCTGTCTCTTCAAAGAGCTCTGCCTCATACTTGGCATAGGAGTACGTCTTGACCTACAGTTATTGGTAAACTTAGAAGACCGGCCCTTACAACTTCAAAAGCATTAACTGTAGGATAGTAACCGCATAAACTAAGCTGTAAATGTACGACATGTATATATTCGACAAATTACAATTTGTAAGAATAAAAGAACACATTCTTTGTAATAGATATTCCTGGAAATAGACAACTGAATATTTATCTAAACTATGCATTTGAATCTAAAACCAAATACATTAACTGAAGTAAACTTTAACATATTCTAAACTCTTCAGCTTCCAAGCCAAAATAAATTATTTTTCAAGTCCCTTATTTGAAGTCCCTTAGTTCCCTTAAGGCCACTATTTCAAAAAATAAAATAAGCATAAACTACAACTGTGCTAAGCTAATGACCATTATTATACATTTAATATGTATTCTCGTTTCTAATTGGTCAGAAAGCACCGGCTAATTTTCAGTATTCGGCATTTATTACGTATTTTCCGCCCATGACGTCATCAGCGTCCAATAATTGTTTTTTTGTATTGAACTTGCATCCAAAAAAAAAATTATTGGACTCTCTCGTGCCCAAACCCTTGCGCGGCCAAAAGCTTGAACCTAAAGCGCGGGAAAAAAACAAACAATGGCCGGCAGCAGATTTGCTTCGCTGAATGAAAGTGAACTCTCCAAATTATTGGCAGATAAGGATAGTGAAAGCACGAAAAAACCAACAAAGGGGTAAATAGAAGTAGAAATATAATATTTAGCTGACCTTTGACTTTGTGCAAGGTGTTTGATATTAAAATTGTACTTTTCCTACCTCATGAACAGGAATCGTTTTATACGTTTCTCATGTCTTTAAATGTATAATAAAACAATTATTGGATTCTGCTTTCGCATGATATCAAGAATTATTCAGACCTCGGTCTATGTTGTCCGCCTCAGCTTCGCTTCGGCAGATAACATTGACCTCGGTCTGAATAATTCTTGATATCATGCTCAGCCTCATCCAATAATTGCTTATTAGACTGTATTTTATGTGCACAGGAAATTATTAACCCATTAATTAAATGGGTTAATAATAAACGCACTCTTCCCTAGCTGAGGATCAACAAAATTGTCTGGCATTACACAAACTAAAAGGACAATTAAAATTACTACATAGGGTGGGCGCATCAGGGCACAATACCACTTAAATTAAGGTTAATACAGCCATATAGGTACACTAACTACAATATTATAAGCAATTGTTGGAGAATGATATCCAGAATTATACAAAAGCCAAATTGAATAATTGTTTGATTACACATTGCAAAGTTATTAGCCTGCATCGAATAAGGTAAAGTAGATTGTTAGTTTGTCAAATTTAGCTATTTGCCTGTTTGCCCAGGCCTAGAAAATATATTTCTCTTCCTGGCAGCAAAATTCAAAAATTAAAATTCCTGTGTAAGTCAACTATAAAACGTCCTGCATATGTAAATTTCAGAGAAAGTGTGGGACTATGATGCTGCACTACTTGACTTGCAATTTAATTTGGAATTTTCAAAAAATAAATTATATGGTATTTCTGTGTTTAAGATAACAAAAATTTCATGCAAGGTGCATGCAAGAAAATGTCCTGTGAAGATATTTTAAACATTTCCTGGTAGCAGTGCTGCTGGCAGGGCCGTAGCTTAGAAGACCTAGAACAATAATTGGGGGGGGGGATGTATATTCATATATTCGTGTTCTGCCCCACAGATTTCTTTTGAAATCAATTGTTTTTACGGTATGTAAAGTAACATGGATATATGAATATACACACCCCAATTATCGTGTCTAGCTACGCCCTGGCTGCTGGCAGTGCTGGACATTTTCCAGCACTGTATTTGCCAATCGGAAAATACTTTAATTAATAGTAACTACAAAATATGTGGTAACGCACCCTACTTTATTACTTTACTCTGTCTAACACCAGAAGAGAGGAATGATGGAATGTACTGTATTATTGGTATCAACAATGTTTGTGTGTTTGCATGTACATAGAAGATACGACAGTTTGGAGTTATTGTACATGCATATATGGATATTAATGCATTAATTATTATTATAAACTATAGTTAACATTATTGTGATATTATGGTTCACACAGGTTGGCAATCAGGCCAAGATAGGAAGTCATTAATACATGTAGCATAACACCCAATTATTCATTCTGACACCATGCAACAATTTTTTGGTAGCAATCCCACAGCCAGTGGCATAATTGGCAGGTGTCCCAGGGACAATTGACAGGGGGGCACACCTGGGGTCCTGCAGCAAAAGTAACCATAATTTTATTTGCTAGTACATTTCCAAGGAATTAATAAAATAATGAAAAATAGAAAAGTATTTATTAAATACATGACTTAAGTAGTTAGAATATAGATGTAATTCCAAAACATTCTCACAATAGGCCTTAAAGGTTAACCTTAGCTGATTTGCTTACAGTTTTGCGATAAACAATTCTGCGAGTGCAATAAAAATGTGCAAAGGTATTTAAACTTTATTGCACAGCAATAAAATGAAGTACCGGTCATTATGGATCTAATGAGTTGTTTATGCTTTAGTTAAAAAGTTAGGCGTACAGTTCTTCTTTATGTGAAATGCCAATGCTATGTTGAATAGATATTGTAATGTAATATTATAATAGTTTACACAGACTGCACCAATTGGTGCCTCTTGCATTGTGATTGTGTTGACAGAAATACAGCCTATTCTTTAGTGTGGGGGGGGGGGCTGGCTGATTGACGAGGGGGTTGGGGTTACATTATGATATTGCCCACAACACCTGAAAATTGAAGTAAATAGTAACTAGAAATACATGCATGCAATAACCCCTCGCCTGTTTTCAAAAGATATATACTCAGTGCCGTTGCGAGCACTTCGTCGCAGGGTGTGTGTGTGGTTAGATAGAGGGGTGGGGGGGGGGGGTTACCAAAAAGTTTCCAGATGTACAAAAATTTTTGAGTACATATAATAATTTTTCCGAAAATACAGTTGCTTTCCAAATTCACTTTCTCAGTCATGTCCTGAGAATTACCTGAATTCTCCTGAAAATCTTCTGCAAATCTACTTAAATGTACGTACTAAAAGTGCACTGGAAATCTACCTGAAATTCATCATGAGCAATAATCAGGGGTGTTGCCCCCCCCCCCCAGTGAGTTCCAAGCAAACACTCTCTGATTTATTGTTCGTGTATTTCGATCACTTCCCAAAATATTGTGCATCATACTATAGAGCATTTTGCTGTTGTCATGCTCTAGCATGGTTCAAATTTAT